ACAGGACTACTTTCAGTTGCGTATACATTTGTCACTTACGATTCCTACGGCAGTTTATATTTTTACAGATTGTGAGAGTGACTGATTAGTTTGAGTAACATTATAAATTCCAGAACAACGCAACGGTTCACCGAGCGATCTAACGTCCCCTAGACGACACGATTCGTCCTAACAGTTATTCATAACAGTTGTTAACAAGTTCTTCATTGTTCCGCGCTGAACACGGCCTATTATCCGATAGATATTCGTTCGATATGTATAATAACATTTATTATAATGTTAGTATCCGTAATATAACTTCAATATTAGACAATTATTGTAATATCTGTCAAACTTATTAGAAAATTCTATTAATGAGTAATGTGTCAAGGGAATTGGTACAGAATATAAACTTGAATTTTATTATGAAACATTTTAGCGACTTACTTAAGTTATTGCAAACTGGCCTCGATTACCAAGGAAATCGGTTAATTGATCATTTATTTATCACATGATTTGCCTCCAAAATGATTGCAATTAGCAATGAAAGTATATTTGTTTGGTTTAATTACTATATTTTCGAGTACATATTGGACTTATATCGTCGTATTTGTATTATGTATCACGAAACCGTAAGAAGACACATTTATAATTCGCAAATAATAATTCTATAATACATTGAAACTTTTGAATTGCATGCAGCAAATGAAGTGCACAATAATCACTAAAGTCAGGATAAATCGACGAAAAAATTATAACTTCGTTATTACCGGGGAAAATTAAATGTGCACCTTGTGTTCCAATAGTAATTCCTAGAATCATGAATATTTAACACATTAGAGCCATTTGTCTCGTCTAGTTGAACGTTAACGTTTTCCGATAAATTGATAATACTCATCAATCATTCGGAAGAATGGCAATTTCGACACCGTTAAAAATTTATGGATGTGTTAGCACTGATTAAATGGCAGGATAATCGAAATTACCATAACCCCAGATGGATGTTCTACCACGTGATCTGATTGATCGAGTCTGTGACCAATGCGAGGTCTCAGGAACAGTGGGCTGAGAAAGAAAGAAACTGGTATTTACAAGACTCAAAGAATATTCATTTAGTATTATTCACCATTATTCGCTACAACCAATAACACAGTACGACGCGACGTAGTAAGAGGAGAAGCCATAAGCCTTCTCGATCGGTCACGTGATTTCTAACGCACGCAGGTTCCAACCTCGATCAACCAAACCGCACGTCAAAATCTCTTGATTTCCGGTTTAAAAATACTTAATAGCTGTACCAATTAATTATCTCTTGAAAATAATCGGCAATCAAAAATAAATCTCGACGATTGATTACAAAATCGAAGTATTTGCGTGACATTCGTCGATGTCGAAATGATCGACAAGAATACGTTCGTGGATTGGACGGGAATATCCACCGGATAAATGGGCCGTGTCTATTCCTTCCTATAAACTTAACTTCAGGTCACACGAAAGCTTCTCCTCCTCCGCCCCCCCCCCCCCCCCGGCCCACGCAACGACCATGTTTTGCAAGTCAGTAGAGGATTTAACACGTTAAATGCCGAGGATGAGGTTCCTGTTTACGCCACGCAATGCGACAGTTGTTCAGAAATGTTAGAAAATTGTGCAAAATGTATCATGAAAAAAATTCAAAACGATTTGGTAGGGAAAATTCTAGAAATACGACTACCATTTTAATTTGGAAAAACAAAATATTATATTTTTGAATTTCATACCGATTGCATTGTCTGTGACCGACGTTGTCTGAAATCTACTGTCGGACACCGATGACTGCCACGGCACTTAACGCGTTAACGAAAAAAAAAAAAGTACGGTCGTCCGGCCGCCGAGAGGAATGCGAAGCCTTATTTAAACGACGTTCACTAATCATATCTTTTATACTATCGTTTAACCCTTTAACATTCTTTACACGCTATATAATATATATATTATATATACGAATTTTATACTGCAACCTCTAGTGGTATTGTCAAACATTTATGCACTTCGGCTAAGCGCATCTTAAGCTTATTAGTAGTTTCATGGGAACTTAAACGTAAGCCGGTTGGCTCGAGGAATTCCTTTATGCCGTCCACCTTCACCCTTCTCTCCTTTTCATTTTCAACCCTTTCCCTCTTACAACCTACGACCGATAAAGCTGCCCCGTCACGGGACACTGGTTCTCGGTTCCGCCAGGCGCGTTCATCGTCGAACTTAATCGGCAATCTTAAGTTCCGATGCGCCCGTCAACTTCCCGCCCGGGACGAAATCTGCCCACGGTCTCCCCTTCTTTCAGTTTTTCCTTCGTCAGCGGTGGTTAATTAAAATTTTACAAAAAAGAACAGGTTGCGGTTGCACACTTGACCGCGTCGATTTCGCGAAGCTAAAGGCGAATTTATACTTTACGCTTTGAATGTGCAACGTGAATGATTCGTCCACACTGATAGGTGTAAAAATTGTTTGTCATCTGCATTTCATTTGAATTGAACGTCCAAAGTAACCAGTGATGAAAGTGGAGTCAAACACGTCCAAAGTGTAAAAGTGTAAATTTGTCTTTACGAACTCATCGGACGGCTTTGGGTGTCCTGTCGATTTAACTCGCAGTTCTGCCACTTGACGTACTTTTATAAAAATAATACTTATCCTGATCTTTAGATATCCTTAAATAATTACTCATCTAAAGAAAAATTGTATAATTAAATATTAAAGATTTTGTTGCCTGTTTTCAGTAGACCAATTTACTTGTCCATTATAGTAGGAGTCTCTTATAGTAAACTTTTAAATGCAGGAGGATATTCACTTGTAACTGTGAATCTTAAAGAAAATGATTCATTATTCTTGAAAATATAGAATTACGAACGACTAAAAATATACCACCCAGCACAAATTCTTAATATTTCCATTCATTGATTAAACAAATGTTTAATCCTGTGCATGACTTATCTTATTTTACAAAATAAGGAACTGTCCAGTTTATTGAAGCTTTCAATCAAACAACCACGTTTTCTTCCTCGAAACGAAGTTTACCACAATTTATTAAATTAGTAAATTATTATATCCCTTATTTGTTTCGATAACTGCCGATCTAATTTTCAAATCTTTTACATTACAGATTAACCCTCCACTGCATAATGTAAGTTTGAAGTCACATACCAGTTTTACCATTATCAAGGTTAAAACCATTATAATTTTATCATAGAAAGTATATCTTTTTCCACAGTTGACCAATGTAACTTGAAAGTTCGAATATGGCTGCTTATTAGTAAATATGTACACTACTGCACAGTCTGAACTTAAAGTAACAAATCTATTTAAAAAAAAACTGAACCCTTTAAAATGGAAAATATAAATTCCATATGTTAACAGTATATACAGGGTATGCCATTTATCTCGACAATCACATGGACATATGGAAAAATATTAATGGCAATACATACACCTGTTGTAAGTGAACAAAGAATAAATGAATTTGTGTATTAACATCAATAGCTTCCTCATAGAGGGTAGATCACGAAACGTGATCAGCTTAGATTATTCTACGGCTTGCTGCACGAACGAACATTTTTTTGGCTAATATAACATAATTTAAGGAGAACTTTAAGATGATTATACCCAATTTTTTGTCAACCCTTTTTTTCCAGAGTTTTAAAGGTCACCTTCAGTTTCTTACAGATAAACCTATAGAAGCAGATAAGACAAAATAATTTATCATAATGCTTACCAAATTCGTCTCAGTATCAGCTAAAAGATAGGTGTAAAAAAATGTAGATTCATCTATAAAAAACTGAAGGTGACTTTAAAAACTCTGGAAAAAGGGGTTTACAAAAAATTTGCTACAATCACCTTAAAAGTCTCCTTGAATAATATTATATTAGCTGAACAAAATTTCGATCGAACAACTAGCAGTAAAATCTATGCTGATCACGTTTCGTGGTCCACCCTGTATATTATCATAATAGCAAAAAACTAAACTGTACGGAAAAGTCTCTTCATCGTATACTCTTTAAATGGTCGAATTAAATATAACACCCTTATATACTGTCAGCAAATTTGTCGAAAAATAGATATTAATTTGCGTAGTAAAGGGTTAAAGTGTCTCGTTTAATGGTCTCAGAACACCCAAATCCCACGTCGTCGAACGTTCGCCAGTGTATAAACCTCGTGCTTCGACGAAAAAACACGGACGTGCGCACTTGATCGCGAAAAACCGTCTCCCGGAAATTATTCGTCGGCGTAGAAAACGTTATACACCACCCGCGATCCACAAAGTCTCGTGGCCACGTGTGTTCTGAACGTGATGCGAGTGCCGTTGCGGTGGGTATTGCAAGCTTGTTTGCTGACAGTATCAATTTCAGAAACAGCGTATGTGCGATTTATCGTACGTGCTCATCCTCTATTGGCCTACGAGAGGACCGAGTTCCATTTCGTATCGTATGCCGCCGCAGCTCGAAGTCGTCCTACTGACTCGACTACAAATACAAATACAAATCCGTCTCGTGTTTCTGATTATCGGGGCCGAAACGTACGTAACGTAACATTGTGCTCACCTTTCCCATTTGGGAAAAATTGAAATCACATTGATTTCTCGCTGTTGTAAAAACATAAAAATCTTGAATACAATTTCCGTTGAATATTTTTCCATGAACTAGTCGACTCGAATGTTAAAATAGTCGTGGAAATTAATTACGCTTATGACAGCTGCCAGAACATATTATGTTCGAATGGAAAATTAATAGATGAATCTTACTGTGTCTCGTAGATTTACAGGATCTTAAGATTCGATTTAGTCACGCGAAATGATTAACAGCGACAAGATGACCAGAATCGACGATTTACCTTTGCATTCGGATGATTTATCGAACTCCGTCTCGAGCGATTGGTCATCCTAGGTACTAACTTGGTCTGGTTTGGTGGAGCTTGGTCGTCGAGGGCCACCAATTCCCGTTTAGCTCGCCGATCATAGAAAGCCGGATGAGGTTCCAGCCTTCCAGTTCTCTGTATCAGGTGTCGTTCGCGTCCCCGTGCTTGTAACCGAGATTCTTCCTTTGGAGGAACAGATGGATCTCGCGGAAGTTCGGCCGGTCCACGTCGTTCCTCTGCCAGCACTCGCGCATCAAGTCATAGATGTCCTTGGGACAGTTCTTCGGCAACGGTAAGATTATCTGGAAAAATAAAAGTGCCCAACATACGTTAGTCACACATTTATGGAATACAAAAATTAGATATGCCAGCAATTGTAAACATAGGAGTAATAGCACTTCCAAAATAAAAAATTAAAATACTTCAATAAATAATTAAACTTAACAGAATAAAAATTTTTAAACTAGAATTTTATGAAATAATCAAGGAAAGAGTCACGAAAAATTCTAGGAACATTATTTATGTACTATACTATAGCATTGTTAATTCCAGAAACATTGAAATAAGTAGAAATGATCGAGAATTGTAAGACATGCTGGTAGAGTTTATGCAGATTTGACAAGTTTTTACGTTTCGTTACCCGAGTTCTTAATTGTATTAACTTTATTTTTTAAAAAAATGTAGTTAATTAATCTTCGTGCGCCTTATTGGTTCGAAGAATACAAGTACACCATAATATAAAAAAAATTCAACTTAGAAAACAACAAATATTCTGTCAAGTCCTAATTCTGAAACTTAAAAAATTTTTTTTTTCTTAATGGTTGTATCTCCAAATATTAACAATAATTAAAAATTGATGTCTATAATAAGATAAAATTTTGTTACACACGGTAATAAATAGCTATTCAGTAGATGATATTACAGTGTGTCTGATTATTTCACTACTTTCCTGCTTCTATAATGTTAAATGTCATAAACTTCAAACTCAGTTTTCTCAATTTAGAAATTAGTGGGGATAGAACAATTAAGAACTAGAGCAACGATTTGGTTTTCTCGAAAAAAGAGGTTGATTATAAAATTGTATTTCTTCATATTACATGTATAATTATCGTCTTCTCACTTGTATTACCAATTTTCTCTATATGTATTATACTAGTGATCGTTAGTTATAAAAGTTACATACGTATAGAAAATATAGAATTCGTCAACATTACTATGAACATCGAATAGTCAGAAATATCCCAAGAACATAGAGCTAACAGTAAGTATCATATAGAATATGTATGAATAAAATATTATGACAATAATGAATACAATATACATAAATAATTGAAATATGAAGAAATATTTTAAGTATTTAATAAATTAATGCGATATGAATAATTTAATACTATATTGTGTATATTTAAATGTTAATGCGAGAAGGCAGCTTTAAATAAATTCAGTATCAATAAGAATTTATTGTCATTTCTACGTTGGAATATTTTGAACTTCCATACTTTTCAAATACAACCAGTTAAACTATTCTACAAAAATCTCTCCTAACAATAAAATTAAATTACAGAAATTGGTTCGGAAGAAACAAATCGATAGATAATTTGAATTGGGATAGTTGACACGTTAAAACGTTTAGAGAACGTTTAATTCGATATATTTATTCGATCTATATATCGTCAACATTTAATTTACTAGTAGAAATGTGATATATGGGATAATACTTACTCTCCTCTCGTCCTCTTGGTAAAAATAAGTCGCGTTCTCAACGATGCGATGGTCGGGCTGCTCCTCGAACGGTTGTTCCCTCGCAAACGTTAAAATCTCCCAGAGCGTGACTGCGAACGCCCAGACATCGCTCTTCGTCGTATGTCTTCCCTAATTTCAACAAATCATCACAAAATGATCATTAGACTGTCTCAAAATATGCCACAAAAATTTCAAACGGATATTTTTTAATATCGCAAAATACACTATCGATTTTATTCCTGACTTTTTACTTTATTCTATACTATATATTATAATAATTCCAATCAACGGTATTCACTTGTCATTTTTCATTTCCAAGCAACAAAAAAGCAAATGCACCAGTAAAATCGCGAACAAACAATCGTTTCCAAAATATTCCCGGGTGCTAAAATCGTTCGATTTTATTTCAACGTCGCCTCCGTTTCCCGTTAGCACGGATACCATTAAAACGGTATCAAACTGAAACCCTGTCGCGACTAGGCGAGGCGAAAACAATTTTATTAACACGCTACGCGGCTCTTTCATATCTATACCATTCCCATCGATACACGTTCCCTGACTGAATCAATATTTATGGTATAGAATGTTACTGATATACAATAATACACAAACAGAAGCATTGTGAAACTCCCAAAAGTCACGTCAGTACTTCTATGATCTTTACAAGACCTCGAAACAAGTTGCCTCGCAAAATGTAGTCGGCCAACAGAACAGACCAAACTGTCACATTCATGAGGTCTTAAAAATAACACTCCCAGACTGTGTGAAACATATAATAGACCTATAATTATCAACCACATTATTTTCTAATATAGGAAATATAAGCAAGTTGGAAGAAGGTTAAATAAACTAACAATCCTTTCGGGTTCTTCAAAAATTAAGAATCTTTTCATTTCGAAATCACTCAAATATTATATCAAGGAGATAGGTATTTTGGTGTATTCTTTTGTATCTTACATAACATATAAATGATTCACAAGAACATTTTAACACTTCGAAACCATCTAATGCCGTTTTTCATTCGCTGTCATTTCATAACATTTTTATTTTTATCACAGTTATACATATACATATAATAATTCCCATTATAATGTTAATATACACAATGAAACCCAATTTTTCTTACCTTTGATCAATAAACCCTTTTGAAATATTTGAAACAGAATAGAGTTTTGTACATTTCTATACTATTAACAACACCTACTCAACACTTGAATTCCATAAAATGAAAGAGACAAAGGACGAGTAGGTAATCTCTTATTTTTACCGATAAGCTTTTAAATATATGTATATTCAAATACAAATTTGAACTAATATTTTATTTCGTAATTTAGAATTCACAGCTATATGGCAACAGTTGGAATGAAAGGATTAAGGACAACCTCACCGAAGCAACAATCTCGACATCGTACCAGGACATGTTGATAATATTCTGTCTGAGTATTGGAATACTCGATTACTTATAAAGACCCTGCTGAATCATCCCTTCAGATTCTACAGTTTTCAATCGCTTACTCGTGTGTATTTAAATTCAGTCAACAGTTGCTAATAATCCTTGTTTATGCTGCGACTCTAAGCTTGCAAAGAAGAAATAATATAATGAACTAAAATAATGATCGAGCTTTAGCTGTTGCGACAGAAAAAGCTCCTGGAGGAATCGGAGATCTGAACGCCACCCGTGAAACCCACGTCTAGAGCGTGGTCGGAGTAATTTATGGAAACCTTGTTGCACCGCGTCGAGTTCGACGAAGTTCAGGTGCTTCAGTTTACGTGTTCTTGCACCGATGGAGCACGTAACTACAACCACTTCGATACTGCGTAAAAAATGATTTTAATGAAAAGTGTTTTAAATAAAAGTTATGTGGTTTGTAACCCTGCGAGGTACATAACACACCAGTTCGATGGTAGTAGTAGCACAGACGAGATATAAGAATAGACCTAATATGCAATGTAATTTTCTGTCCCATGCTTCGAGGGCATCAGAAGCCCCCTTACCATTTTAATGTCAATACCCGACGTTACCGATAAAGCATGAATTCTGAGTATTATTAGCACAAATGAAGTGTTATATATTCCATTCACATTGCGTGTATCTATATGATTTAATGGGAATAAAAATATTCGATGCTTCAGTTTAAGGTTAAGAGATAAATATGACAGTCATGAAACATGAAACGGAAAAGTATATATTTTTCCACTTAACTACACGACAAGTTATTCTAAATGCATTGTTAATGGACATTTTAGTAATGTTACTTTTTACATGTTCTTGTTTTATTCGTTTTCATATCTTGCCTTACACTAGTATATTTGTAACAGATAAATTCAGAATAGATGCAGTTTCATAAATAGTTTATCAAATCTACATGTGGGAGAATATATACACCGCTTTTATTAACATTTACATATTTATAATTTATATGGGAGTAGGAATAGTTTTACTGCCTATTGTAAGAATCTTAATACGCACGAACAATTACTTTCTGGCAATTGGTAAATTTTTACATATGAATTTACTTACACGTTATTTACTTATAAAAATTGTATTTATTACGAGTAATTAAATAATGAACGTACGTTAATATTCAGCTACGTGTCTCTCAAATTAAGTGAAATACAGAAGTTTCATTTTCTTGAAAATTGGTGTCAAAGAATGCAGCAACTGGTCAGATTAGTTTCGTAAATAAATCGAAACCCTGTATCGGCATATTGTTTTTTAGGCTATCAAATATCACACGGAGTCTTTTAGGAAGTAGTAAAATCTTTTATACAAATTCAATGAAATACTTTCAGATACCCAGTTTAAGAAGAGGTAAAGAAGTTTCATATTTGCAATTATTTTGTGATACCGTTATAGAAATCGATATCCTGTGAGAAAAATCGTATTTAACGATATGAAATGAATAATAAATAACGGTCTTAGGGATTTATACTGGAGAGCTAAATCTTTAAAAGGAACATATCGCTTAAACAAATTAGTTAGAAATGATATTTATTTGGGGAATATGAACATCATAAATAAACGAGAGCGGGAGAGCGAGCTGCGGTAGCGGTGCTCTCCGTCGGTGTGACGCGAGCCGAGGAAATTCAGGGGGAAATTCGAGGAATTCTATGGGGGCAGGTGTGCGAGCGAGAGAGTACGGTAGAGCGTGCCGCGGCATCGGTGTACTCCGTCGGTCCAACGCACTAGTGACGTTGCGTCACACAGTTTATTGACCTAGCCGTGTACGCCGTGTACCATAGCCGTACCTGGCTGTACCATCCGGTGTTTGGGTCGTTCAAGGAAGGTCGTTCAAGCCGGCAAAAACAATTCAACACGAACAAACCTGCGTACGCCCAATCCATAACGGCGTTAGCTTCCTCACTTTCTCGTGAGCCGTCGCGGAGGGTGGGCGCGCGTCTCATACTCGTCCTTTCTCTTGTTACTAATCCATTGTTTGTTTCAGGCATTCGACAACCAGTTAATTAATTTACTGTGCATATTATTAATCTATTTACTGTGCATATTGTTGTGTCCCCTCTCTTGTAACTAATCCCTTGTATGTTACAAATGTTCGAGAACCATTGGCTTCGATATTTATCTTCTTATGTACTGTGATTCATTTACTGTGATTTATTTACTGTGCGTATTATTAATTTATTTATTGTGCATATTGTTGTGTCCCCTCTCTTGTTACTAATCCTTTGTATGTTGCAGAAGTTCGAGAACCATTGGCTTCGATATTTATCTTCTTATGTACTGTGATTTATTTACTGTGCATATTATGTATTCTATGTGTATTGTATAATGAAAAATATTTTTCCAAACAGTGATTCCATCGAAAGAAGACATCGATCAACGTCTACATCCTCGAAGCGTTTACCACTGCGTTAAGTTACTGGAAGTTAAACTTAAATCATAATTCGATATTCATTGTTATATTCATATTCATCATCACGTCGTTTATTATTAAATTTAGTCTATCTATTAATAGACTTAAATTGTAACCATCCATTGTGCATACCAAGTTTTTAGTAATTCATTTTGCTCGTTGATTTTCTACACAGACTTGGGGTACGGGCAGTGGGTCTGTAGTCTGTACCTATGGTACGGGCAGTGGGCCTGTGCACTAAGACTGTTTGCCGATCCCTCTGGTTTCTATTGAGAAGCCAGATATCGGACGTGTTTAGTCTTTGCCTGGTAAGTAGGATTTGGAGAAAGGCTCGTGCGTGCCAGGGTACGGAGGAGTCGGGAGGCTGCTCCGTAAACGGACTCTGTTTAACAGGGAATCTCGCTTGCACTACCATGCTTGTGTACTCTTTTGGTTCGGGTCTGGTACGCAGGTGAGCAGCCCAAAGCTCTTGGGCCTCCACTCGCAGCAACCTCCTCGTGGTGAGGCCTGGGCAATCGGTATTATCATCGGTAAAGTACTGGAAACTGAAGACAATACCGAGCTAATGGCTGCGAACTTCGAATCTATCTCATAAAACCACGTTCTATATTACATCGAACTAGGATTATTTTAGAAATCGATATGAGATTCAAAGTTTAAAAATGTTTAGTACTTTGAATGTTTTCGAAAATTATTCGAGATAAAGATGTATGAAACTACTGAAAATTACTTTAGATTCCTTTTCCTTTTTCTGTAAATTCTTTGATTGGAATATGAATGCTGCTGGAAGTATGAACATTTTCACAGGACAATGATATAAATGGAACTTTGAAACTTTTTTAAGTGTTACAGTGATATTTCGTTATATGTTCCATAATGTCAATAATATTGATTTCCCCGCAACATCCATAATTATTACAAATGTCAATATAACGAAATATCTTTTGTGCGATGCTTGTGATGTAATAAAAATCTGTGTTTCGATTACGTTTTTGATACGTATTACTCACTTATATGGAATAACATAGAATAAAAATATATATGCGTTCGTTGTCACTGTTAAACTGTTGTAATAACAATGAAATAATAAAATAATTTACTGAAATGTACATAATAATACATATACATATTCATAAAAACAATATTAAACGCAATAACTTGTTTGTACGCGAAAAAAAACCAATAGATTCGTCGGGACTGGAATCCAAGACTCCTTTCTAATACGTCTACTTTACAGTGAACGGACGTAAGAGAATC